GACGCGCGTCGCTGCGTGGTAGGACGGATTTTGTGCGCTCCGTCCTAACAGCCGTGATTCCCTTAAATGATACCGATTCCCTTGAATCAAATATGATTGCCTACGTATTTTCGACATTGAAAAGCACATCTAACGAGACAATCAACAAATATACAAGAACACAGTGAAAGAATTAACAGTATTTCATCCGAATAGTAAGATCAAATTCACTACCTAATAGGAATCAAACTTTTCTGTTATTCCCGGGCTGACTGTTGCATTCGATCCACAATACCAATGGTAACAATCTGTCACCTGCAGCTTCTCCCCTCGCTACTCAGCGTCATCGCATAAATTCTTATCTTTATTGTTTCACTGATTAAACCGTGGCATCCTTTTGCATCCTGATTACATCTGTGTTATCGTGATAATTTAGTGAACAAGACAGGTGGTGATAAAAATGAGTTGCCGGTATCCGTGATCCCACAAACGACGATAACCCTGTATTGGGTTTTACATGGGGGTAGTAGGTTTTTATGATTAAAGTATTCTATCAAAGGTTGCCTTAATAGTCATCCGCGATTTTCTACGTCGTGAGGAACAGTTGCCTCCAGTGGCGAACTCACGAAGAATTGGGAGAAATGTTACAAAATGGGATGCATTGGGCCGCTGAATGTCGTATAAGAGAAGAGGTTCAGTAGCACCAAGGATGTCATTTTGCAGCATATTTCCCGGGTGGGTGAGACCATAAAAGATTGCATAAATGAGCCATTCATTACAAAGGTGGAAAACAGGGACATTTTCTGACTCACAATTGGGATGAGCTGGACGGTTGAAGACATAACCCTCGCCCAATCATGACTCAACTTCTCTGTAGTCACTGGCGTCTGCCAGATCATATTTATTCCATACTGAATCAGCACTGTTGCGCACGCAAGAACATTTGGTCAAACTTTTTCGGCTCATCCATTTTATGTTTCTATTTAAACGAAAGCTTTCCATGCTCACTGTGAAATATCATGTGCAATGTACGCAATCACTTGGAGAAATATCAACTACTTATATATTCTATCAGAGCTAAATGACTTCATCGAGAGGGATGCCGAAGGAAGTAATAACTGCAAAAACGTGAACGTTTCTTTTTTCTAAACTTTTTGTGCTTTATAAGTATCATGATATTTAATTCGTACCTGGCTTGAACTACGTTCTGAATGAGTTGTGTTTATTGAAGTGCTTACGTTTAGAAACGCTTGTGCAGTGAAATTGTTTGAGTCGAAATTCCAAGTCAAATATCAGTCAGAAGGTAAATGAACGAATCCAATGAGTCATTTCCAAAACAGTGAACGAACAACTCTGGAAATGGAAATTAGTAATATCGTATACTTTATTTTGGGTAACTACTGAGGTTAATCCATACATGTTCGAAACAATCGGAGGTTTGAAAAAAAAAACGTTTTCTGCAGAATCTAGCACACCTTGGAATTTATTACTTTGGGTTAATATTGTTGTTGAAACGATTTATGAAGTCATCAAGTGGCTTGATGGTTATAACGCAGTGTATTGTAGTGTACAACCATGAATGCTTCAGCATCAGTGGTACCTTTACATCCAGAAGACGCGTGTTCAAGTCCCAACACCACCGCCCGGCTTTTCCCATGATACATTGTGCGGCAGCCTTTTGATTGCAGGGGCTTAACCTTTCCTGGAAATTGTCTTTGTATATTCAGTGGAAGGAAAAACGCAAATCGTCGTATTGATTCAAATTCAGTGAAATAAATTATTGAAACTCGAAGGTCACCAAAATAGTTTTTGTCAGAGTTTATGAAAAGTTTCATCTCATAATGGTCTCTTTTAATGGGAGCACATGCCATTTAGAGGAGAAGGGAACGTATGTAAACCGTTATGCGGAACCTGGTGTCAGCAGTTAGAGCGTGTGGGAGTTGCAGAGGACACTGTGTCTATTCAGTAAACAATTGATGCCCGGACTTCGAAAAACTTCCATCTACAGATTTCATCCGATAATCTAAGTAACTACCAGAAAGAATTGCAACCAATTTGTTAACAAACGATTGGGAAGTACCACTGCTTTATCGTCGAGTAATGTTTAAATGTTTAAGCTGACCAGAACAATTTTTAGATGGTGGTAGAGCAAGCTGGAAATAAGTGGAAATAGTTGATAATGAAGTGCAAGTGTTCTCTCTTATGAATGCAAACTGATAGATGTGGTGGTTTTTAAACAAAGTTAGCTTAAAGAATTTTCTACATTTTATGCACCTTGACCCAAGCGTACACCTGCTTTTGTCTGTTCTACACTGCGACTGCTCCACCGTTGCACACTGTCTTATCCCTCTTATCTATGACCTCAAATAATTAACTTCCCTCCGACAGTCTCTGTGATCTCATTAGATTATTTTCCGCGCAACTTGCACTTCTTCAATCTAACGCTAGACTGAGTGATCACCTGTTCGTAATCACTCCGACGCTCTTGTTGTCACCTGTAATCTAGCCATATGATAATGGCACTCCTGCTGTGCACAACCGAAGTTCACTGAGACTTCTAATGACTCGAGGTAATGGATAAGGTGTGGGTTCTCGCTTGGGTTAGCTAGGCAGGTATTAGGTCCTTTTTTAAAACTGAACCATCCAACCGATCGCATAATGAACTCGATCGATCATGTGATTGTCGAGAGTGAGTTTTGCACGCTATACTGCATAAACAGTTCACCTCGTGTAAGTGAAGCTGGCCGAGATTTGGAAACTATTCGCCCATCGGCCGATGTGTTCACTTCTCACTTCCAGCAGCCCAACTAACACTAAAGCACGCTTCATGTGAAAACCATCGATACTCTGGGGTCATCTGATAAAAGTGTAAATTGATTATTTGGTGTACAACAGTGAGAAGATACTATTTTTGGTTCGATCAAAAAATACTACTAGAAACATTGTATAGGAGCTCCGTTTAAAACAAATTTGATGATTTCAAACTTATTCTCATTCGCCGTCTTTATACTTATACCACCAGTTCGTTTCATAAAACTATTCTATCGCAGTATATCTGATTTGTCAATCTACATCACAATAGTATCTTTAATGTCAGTCACTTATTTATGCCTCCTACATTTGTCATATCTTATAAAAACCGCCAAACCGACAATCAATGCTACTTAACCTTGTTCCTGGTATTACTTCTGATCTCTAAGACACTGTCATCGGACAATGGATTGCCCTCCCACTCCCATCGCACAGACTGCTCTATGCTGCGGTATGAAGATGAATGAGGTCCGGTGATGGACGATGTCACTGCAATCGGCATACAACTTAATTGAGATTAATGGACACAAAGGACCCAAGGTGAAAATGCCCGACCAGATCCACCCAGTCCGACATCAATATATGCATTAGGGAAACAAGCAATGGTGAACACCAAAGCAGAATTTGGATTAACTAGACAACCCGATTAGGTGATGATAATTATCTACCTCAGTGGACTGCTTCCCAATGAAGTTCATTGCCTGACTGAGGAACAATAATGAAGCTCGTGGGTGGGATTATGAACATCTTTTGAAGGAGTGTGATTGTGGGTCGAACTAATCAGAGACGACGGTTACCAATAAATTATTATATGCAGGTCAACGGAATTAACTTGTACACAAATGGGAATAAACTGTGCTCGTCTTTTCACACTTATCACCTAAACTATATTTGCTATGTAACAAATAAGGAAGTTAATGTTTTTTTAATTGCTGACTCCACAATTGTGCCAACAATGACGACGAACTATGTGCAAGCGTGATTTCATTTAGGAATCTACTGAGATGTTCTTCGTGCACATATTCAGTTGGCAGAGATTTTTACCTGTCTCATCTTTTTCCACTGGCACCGATTCTCACTCACTCATTGATGATCAACCTCAGGCGGCTCAAGGTCAAATACAAATAAATCGATCAAGTACAGCCCTAAACAGATAGCGGATTCACTTGATCTGGCAGATCAGATGCTATTGGTCATGATAGCCCTCGGTTCGCCAAAACTGCTCAGATGGGCTACTTTGTCGGACTGAAAACAGAATATCAAAGACTATTTGAAGCCTCGGTGTGACACAACGGATTGATTTTGACCACTGTGTTTGTCAGGGTAGCATTTTAAACTACTAGAGAAAGGAAAACCATAATGATCACTTTACATGTCAAAAGTACCTTTCTTGTGGTAATTGAAGCTATAAAACCGAAAACGATTTCCTCACAACGAAAAGTTTTCTTGTTTGTAGGATACGAATTGCCGGTGGAAAACATTCCTTGGTGTAACCAGTTAAATTTCTCATTCATAATTATTCCTTCCTTCGTTCACATGCACACTTTTTATTGTGCAAGTTATCATGTCCTGCTCCGTTATTGCGCATTAGATATATTCTAATGTAGAACCGTAAAAGTGAGCAAGTGCACAGATTTATTTGTCTCATTGTGTTTTGTAGACTGAACCGATCATCATCTTGTTTTCGCATTTGTTTATCTTTCAGATCCCGGACAATGTGAACAGCTCATCCATCATACTTCAAGATACTGCAGTCAACATACAGACCGGGGAAATCCATATCAGTAAAGAATGTCAGGATGTCGCTCAAAATGTTTGTCTGGCATTCTGTTGCGGTCTGATGCATGTGAGTTGTTCACCCCATAATCAAACCATGGATACAGGCTGTAGAGAGATTCAGTCCACTTGCTGGAGTCTCGCCTCGCGTTCAGAGGAATTTATCAATGATAAAAGCAAACCGCACATGTCGTGATGTGAATCTTTTCACAAAGAATAAGCCTTTATTTCTCTTAACAACGCTACTTCCGGGTGTAGCATCCACTGTAAATGATTGGATCGGTTGAATGATCGTAACAAGGACTCCGTGTAAATCTGTGTTACTTAATCATCTGCATTCGAAACGTTTCATTCAACAGGATGGTATTCCACAAAATCTCTTGCAAGAGCTGCTTGCTTCTCAGACACCGCGAATTAATCATTGTATACTGAATATTTTATCCCGAATCAACGCCATTCCTATAATTCACACAAAAAACATTATTCTTCTTACTGTCAACATCAAAGTAAATTGCTAGTAACAATAATATCGGGAATGGTAGCATGAATGTTACCAGTCTTTGATGTATAAGAAGCCTTATCAATACTGATTGGTTAAGGGCGCAAGATTAAAGACTATTTTTTGAAAAATCTGTCGCAGTAACTGCAATTAATTCCGCATTGAAGCAATAAAAAGACTGATGTAAAAATAAATCCACTTTGAGAAATTTGCCGTTTATGTGCATAAGAAGGAAGGATTCGTTTTGGTCACCGGTTAATCTGAACGATTTCTGCTACATTTTTTATGCAGAATAATTCTGATAATCAGAACCGTGCACCCCTCCCCCAAAAGGCCTTCAATCGTCCACATTTTACAACTAATATATTTTTCTCATTTTACTTCCTATAATTGAACGCAAAATGATCCAATTTTCGGGAAGGAGAAGCGGCCGATCAAAAGGTTGTCATACAACACAGTGAGGATAGGGAAAGTTAGGCGGTGGTTGTGGACTTCGAGCACACTTCTTCCGGGGCGATAATTTGATGTTATATACCGCTAAATCATCACTGGATCAGTTAATGGAACAAATACGGAAAGAGCAGAAAATTACCCTTTGTTGGGTGCCAGATTACGGATGTCCGTGGCAAAATGTTTGGGATAAAATAACAAACGGAGTAAAAAAATATTCGCCAACCAGAAAGTTTTGAGCAAATATATATATATATATCATTGTTTGTCCCTTCATTTTTTTCTAAAAGCGCACATTATTCGTTTATAAAGCACAGAAGATTGCTCTCAGCTCAGTGTTCTGTTATCTCTGCTTACAATGAAATTATTGTTCACATTTAAAACAATTTCTAATTAAACTTCCCAGTTTCTCTGATTACAATATCCAGTCGGCATTTGAAGGGAGACTGATATTTCATGCGGCTTGGTATACTTACTAGCCGAATTAATTTGCACCAATTAGCGAAACAACAAGACTGACTCATGTATGGTTAGTTTCTTAAAAATCCAATGACAATGATACCAAAATATCCATGACTCTCAGACAGTAAAGTAGCACTGATGCAAACAAGACCCACTTGTTAGAGATTTTTCTCACCATCCATATATCGTTCACCAGTTCACCGGAATAAGACATCTTTCACTAGTATTAAAAATTGAGGCGGATAGCTCAAAAATTTTCCAAAAATTCGGATATTTTCGATCAGAAGCCTGAATGCCATATTCATTTGTTCCTAATTAATATTCTCAGTTCACCGATAATGTTTTCGCCCTCACCAAAATAAACCCGTTGCATAACATTTTTGTTCCTAATAAGCGCCTTCCGCATGAGACATTATGCTACTCCTGAGTAGTCAAGTGACACAAGTCCGCAGACAAATGTCAATTAAATTAAAGCTGATATCTGTCGCGAAAATCTTCACTTCCAGGTGCTCTGCCAACCTCGAATTCTTACTCAGGAACAAGGATTCAAATCGATTTGGGACGCAGGCTTGCTTTCGAACTACCCAAGCTCTTCAAGCAAGCTTATACAAAGCCAGTCCGCTGGATCCGTGCATGAAGTCGATCCGGAACAGCCGTCCATCATGACAACATCAACTTCATTCGATTCGAATAACATTATTCAGCTCATTGATAAACCCCCAGTGAAAGGTCATCCAACTGCAGATGGGGGTACGAAAAGGCAAGGGATTGAAACAACCAAACTGTTTTGGAGTCTCAGTTCAACAATATCGAAAGAATGGGAACCGATGAAGACTCGACTATTACGAGACGGTTGTCCTGAAGAGTTCACAGCTCCGAAGGGAACAAAAAGCACAGCTTCATTCAGTCCGATAGAGATACTGGGTCATGCTTTATTCAGTATAGCTTCGGACAGTTCAACTCATCCTCAGCCCAGTGAATTACGCGGATCCTCAAACGAGTAGGTTGAGAGATTATGGCGTAATAAGGGTTTTCACAGTCATTAGCTTTCATTCAGTGGTATTGGTCCTCGTTTCATTATCTGGTAAATATCAACACAAATATTTTCTTGTCTTACAAACCCTTAATATTAATTGATTGGAATTCAAATGAGTTTGCTTCAGCCTCAAACTACATCACGAGGGGGGCATTTCTTTGATCAAGCTTAGAATGAGCCGATTAATCCAATAAATCCTATATCACGGCCAGTGGCTCAAAAGCACATTGATTCGTGCAGCAAATATTCGTGCTGTCGACTCCATCAGAATTGCTAAAACTAGTTTAATTCAACTTTTAGGTTTTACTGCATTGTTGAGTCCCGTCTCTTGAATGTACTGGGCATGTGTCTCGCAGATCTTGGATACATGAGGAAACAACCAGTGACAAAGTATAACTTTACTAGCTTCTAAACTTTGGTGATAATCTTCAGCATCTGAAAATGCGTTTTAGAGGTTCACAATCTCTCACGCTTTTTGTTTACTCCAAACTTATTTTAGCATTGTGGATCAGCAGAATGGAGCATCTATCTACGGTACCCTGGATCATTCGTTCCGCACCATGAGCTCCACGCATATATCCACGCGTGGTCAACTTACATCACTTAACTTTGTCCTCTGTCGATCTGCGGGCTTGCCCATAGATACACTCATCCCGAGTATACAACTGACAAGATATATAGATCGTACGAATCAGCTGAATACTTTCCTATCAGGTTGTACGGATGAAGTGAAATCGGGGCAGAAAAATGGTGTTTTACTCATGAAACCCGCGACAAACGGTATTCCGCCGAACAACCGAAATCTAATGTCAACCGCAATATCGGAAGAACGCTCACAACATGCCAGAGAAGTGGGAACCTCCAACAAAACCGCTCCGAGCCAAAACTCCTTGCGAATTATAGATTTACCCAAAATTAGGCCTCCGTTCCTTGGTTGGCGACTGACTGATTTTTATGACTATTTCCTTCTTGAATTGCCTGATATTTGTTCAGGTTGTATACAAGGTTGTCGTTATTGTTGTGGAGTGGGATTGTTGTGACATTTCCACTACACTGCCCACTTGCATATTGCAGCTGCTGCTGTTTTTCGTTTTTGTGATGAATGAACACAGCAGAGTTCAAGTGATTTTTCTACTCACATTAATCATTACCCTTTGCGAAAAGTTAAATCTTATTTTTTCATCAATTCTCCTCTTTATTGTCATTTTTAATCAGTTGGTGACATTGTTTATCTGTGGTGATTTAAACGAAGCTGCGATTTTGACTTTTGAGAAACCTCTGTTCATTGTCCTATACTCGGATCGGTGAAAAGAGTACATGTTAAAAGTGAAGAAAGGTACAGTGTGGCTAAATTGCCTTTATTGTTGCATTGCTAACAGAACTGTTCAACTAGCCAGACAGAAATACAGCCTCATACGGGATGCTCAGTTAGATTCGCCCACCTCCCAATGGCAGGCATTGATAAGTTCGTTAAATCCCTTGTGCTTTGTAGTCACAGTTTGAAGGTCAAGTATCACGGTTGACCTGCACAAGGTTAATAATGCAAGCCGAAAGTTCATTCACCCTACCGGCCCCTGAATCGTTTTAATCCTGACACACCCACCGCGGGTACCCGTGCCCTGCTTGGATGGCACTCGCCAATTACATACAAGACACGTCCTCCGAAAATTGGTTCACATCAGTGCGGATCAACTAACTGAGATAATGCTCTACGGTCACATTCGGACGTTCGAAAATATCATTATAAAAATAAACCTGCACTAATTCTTATGAATGAACGACTAAGGTTAATCATTTAAACTTTAAAGCATAAACTTTGAATATAGGATTTCACTTGGTTAGGATAATTATAGTAATATAATCATAATTTTATTTCCGTTTACTGATTATGGAAATGTTCAATGGACATCCATGAAGGAGGAGAGGCCAAAGTCAAAG